CAAGACTGGCCTGGGCAACCAGTGAGACCCCTGTCTCTACAAAAAAAATTAGCTGGGCGTGGTGGTATGCACCTGTAGTTCCAGCTACTGGGGTAGGGGTGAAGGGGGTGAGGAGGTAGGAGGATAGCTTGAGCTCAAAGTTTGAGGCTGCAGTGAGCCTTTAGCCTGGGTGACCCATCCAAGACCTTATCTCAAAAAAAAAAAAAAATTGCTGATCATTCTGAGGCAAATTGGGGGACTTGTAATATTCTGTTGCTATGCTAATAAACTTTTATGAAGACAATGAGTAATTTCATGACGCTATTTTAAAGTAGCCTTGCTACATCAGCCAAAATGCTGGCTCACAGAGGTGTTTTCTTCTTTCCTATTATCATTTTCACCTTTCCATCAACTCTAGGAGTTTCAAATACCTTAATCAAATAGAATAATTAAAATCAAAATATACATCTTAAATTATATTTGCAATCACATCGTCAATGCTGTTTCCTTTTCCTCAGTGATCTGTTATTTTCTTGCCATAAAATCAACTTCTTCACTATGCCTGTTTATTACCTTAAAAAGAGTAGTTAGGGTAGAACTTCCTAAGTACTGATTAACGTAATTTGGTGGGATACTTACCAAACTAGTTATCTGGATTGCTTTAACAAAAAACAAACAACAGTATTCTAATAAGGCAACTATCAGAAACACTTATCACATGAAACATTTAGTGAGATATTTATAAATAATTTTGAGAAAGATGAAAAAGGCAGTCAGTAAATTCAAAGTATTATTAAATATTATCAATATTTTAAAGCCAAGATATGGCTCCGTGAAATATAGGCTTTTCGAAATGTTGAGTTCTATGTAAACTCTTCTTCTTCTTCTTATTATTTTGCAACAGAGCCTTACTCCCATTGCCCAGGTTAGGGTGCTGTGGCACAATCATGGCTCACTGCAGCCTCAACTTCCAGGGCTCAGGTGATCCTCCCACCTCAGCATCCCCAGCAGCTGGGACTACATGTACCTGTCACCACACCCAGCGAAATTTTTGTATTTTTAGTAGAGGTGGAGTTTTGCCATGATGCCCAGGATGGTCTTGAACTCAAGGGATTCACCTGCCTCGGTCCCCAAAGTGCAGGGATTACAGGCATGGGCCACTGTGCCTGTAAACTCCTATTCTTAAATGAAGCAGCAGGTCCCTGACTCTACTTACTGTACCATACACCCCACTGCTCAGCTGACAATGCCACCACAGAAAACTGGTCCAGGACCTAACCTGCTGTTCCTTGGGTTTTGCCTGTTGGTAACTACTGTTCCCTTTTCTCTCCACACCTTTTACACTCTGGAATTGTTGTCCTAGACTCAAGCTTTTTGTATTCACGTTGGAGGAAACTTTCAATATCAAGGGATCTCTGTGATGGCAGCAATAAAGTTGAGCAGATTTTTAAAAAATTTCCTTCCTAAAAAGACATTCTTCAAAAACGGTTTTGCATTGATTTTAAAAGGACAGAATATTTGTTCCTGAGAAAGAGCTGGGGCATGTTGTCTTGGAGGTCATCTTAGCATCAAATAGTCTAGACCTTCTCCAGACATTAAAGGCTGCACAGGTCTGTGTAGAACCTCTGGCTGTCCATGGGAGATTCTTAGAGAACTGTCACTTGGAGAAAAGAATGATTATGATTGAAGGACATAAATGAGAAAGGAAGCTATGAACAAATAATCCTGGGGCAAGTGGAGAAAATGACGGCTTGATCTAGGAGCAGTATGGTTCCCACATTTAATTAGGATTCAAGAAAGAAACAATTTACGTTTATCTTTCTTTTCCAAAGCCCCCTACTCTTATATCTCACTGCAGATGAGTAGGATGAATGATGAATGTGTGATAGCAGCAGAGGTTGCTTCAACTGTGGGGCACGATACAACATTATTTTGAGTTAGGCAATTTTACTTTATACCAGGAATATTACTTTATGCACTGTTTTAAATATTTGTTTGAAGAATACTCGAATACAGAATTTCTTTACCCATAATGAATTTGTGTGTGTTTACACAGTTTTTGTGTTTCGCATCAGTGGAAATAAAAGATTGACATTGCTACCCACTCAACCAGGCACTTTCAGACCACAAATCAGGATGAGAAAGGACTGCTAAACGCAAAGAATGCAGAAATAAAGACTACCCATAGGTGGCGCTGTGGTTAAAGTACACCTGAATTTTGATTACAGTGACTGTATTTACTCCCCACCTCTCAGAAGAGAGACTGTTAGCCATTATCGCTTTTGTATTTCTATAAACACACATCAGCAAATAAAGCTCTCTGGTAATACACTCCCATCCACTCCAATCTACCAGGACATGTTTAAAGACCTCACTCCGCACAGAATTAGAGCTGAAGCACTAAAACCACCTTCTAAAATGTAGGCCTTGTAGCCTAGAGCTCTGTTATTCAAAGTTTTATCCATCTCACTCTCCTTCCTTCCACAAACACTACCGGGATCCTTTGGATAATCACTCAGTGATAGCTGAACATGTGTCTGGTTAAATTTCTAACATTCCCTTCAGGAATTAAGATTTCGTTTTAGTGCATATTCTTCAGGAAAAATACTGAAAAGTACCACAATTCATTATACATCTATGCATATGTGTCCTATCTAAGAAAATCACTTTAAAAAAGAAAAAATAAAGACCATTTGGCTTAATTCTCTCATTCGTGGATGAGAAAATTAAGGCCCAGAGAAGGAAATTTACTTGCACATGACAAATCATAACTTAATTGTAGTCCACTAAGATCTTGTGTCATCTCGCTTTATTATAAATTATTTAAAAAGTGAAAATGAACAAGGGGATTCAAATGTATTATTTGTTTATGGGGTTCCTCTCCTCATCTGGTTTAATTGAGTTTTCTTGACTAACCTTCAAGCAGCATTACATCTTTTCTAAGTTGGTCCTCTTTAATCATGCCCACTTGCAGCTGTTTTCTGTGTAGGACATGTTAATTACTATTATAGTTTTAATGACTTTTTTTTAAAAAAGTTTTTTATATGTGCACAAGGTGAATTGATTGTAACAGTGCAATTTTAAATACAAATCAATAAAATTAATTCATTTAGTTTTAAGACGCTAGAATTAAAAAATGACTATTTGAATTGATATTTAAAATGCCCTCTACATGATTGTATGAGCAATAATTATTCTTTCTTATGTAGCCTTATTAATTTTGATGGTTTGAAAGACAGAAATCCCCCAAATAGACACTATAGATGTTCAACATCTGCATTGTCTCGCCTGATTCTCCTTCAGGTTCCTTTCCTCAATCTAGCAGTAATATGAAAACTTGCCCCACAAGGCTGGTTTTACTTAATGATACTTAGCAGAAGGGCTTTGCACTTTCATGATAATTTCCACCACAAAAATCTCTCTGGAACTTACTAACAATAATCAGGCCTAATATTAGCCTCAGTTTGGAGATTTATTAAACTTATTTGGCAGAGTAGATAAAGTCAAACGCCTAGGTATGCAAGCATCTAGGCTGTGCTTCGGCCTTGGAAAAACTCAGGCCAGCACCCTAAAAGCATTCCTCAAAACTTGATTTATACTAGAAGTGACATTTCTTACTCTCTAGAGGCTGTGAGATTGCAAATCTCGCAATTACTTCCATTGCTTTTGGGGGCTGTGAGAATTTCCGCCTCTCATCCTCCACAGTGAGGAGGGTAGTCGGGCAAGGTTTTCTCCCTGAAGTTTTCGTCAACTTTGAAAATAAGGACTGTGCTCCCTACATCACCAGCAATTGACAAGGATCCAAGAAATGCCTGCTAGGCACTTTCACACTCGGGTAAATGGGGGATGAGGGAGGCTAAGTAGGCAGTATTTAGCTAGCAACTATTATTTCCTTTATGTTTCTACCTTGTTAACTAAGCTTCCACTACGGTTCATAAATCTCCAATATCGTGAATTAAAGAAACAACAACAAAAATCCTCTTCTGTGTGCGTGTGCGTGAGGGGATAGAAGTTCACTGCCCTAAGATGCAGGACTTATCTTCCCAAACAGGAAGAGACCCATTTCTGAGAAAGATGGTAAGTTTCCTAAGGGTCTCCTCTCAGATCGAGGGGATGGCAGTCCCCGAGGAGCGAGCGGGCGCGGGTCCTCAGGGTCCCCGTGCGCAGAGAAGGCAGGTGAGGCCCCCCTGCCCCACCGGGTCTCGGCTCCGGATCCCGGGTCGCGAAGGTCAGCCCAAGCGGGTCCCCGGCGCCAGGCGCCAAGCGGGTCACTTCTCCCCACCTGATTCGGGCCCTTCCCTTCTCCTCAGTCTGCCCGCTCCGCCGCCTCACTCTCTCCCCCGCCCCCCGAGTCTCGTTTCAGTCATCCCTTTGTCCTTCCCCGGATTGGCAGGTTTTATTATTCCGCCTGAACAATCCGGCCGCCCAGTGGCTGAGGGTCGCTGACGTCGGAGGCAGAGCCGGGGAGTAGTTGGGATTTTGCTCTGTCAGTAACACATGTGTAAGAGCCGCGGAGGGAGCGAGCGAGCCGGCTAGAGGCCAGTGCCGCCGCCG